AAGTGTCGTTTTACAATAGACAATACTACAACAATATGCAAATCACAAGAGTATTGTATCGTAGAAATATCCCAGAATTGCCACTTTCAACAGTTGAAGTCAATATGATACATTAGCACACCATCTGTTATAATAAATATTTGCAAGGTTTTCCCACTATGTACTAAGTGTCAACCTGCAACCCCAAACCACATTATTGACTGTATTGACTCATCCATTGATGAGCTCTACTCTTCCCTGGCAGACACCATCAACAAACTCTACAAGCTTGATACCTTCATATAATTGAGTAACTCCACCTTTGCCGGTCCCAAGCCTGGATGAAAAAGGAGAAGGGGGAGCAGTGACAAGCTCGCTAAAAAACCTGGGCTCAGCTGGCCCGGCTGATAGTACCCTGTAAGGGCTCCTAATCCAGGGATACAGGATGAGCAGCGTTTATACTCCATGTTAGGAGGAGCTGCACATGGCATCTGTTCCTCATGTCAGAGGCGGCCATTTCTTTTGGAGCTAAGTCGGCCTGCCACTGAGTAGTGCTTCCAGTCTTAATGACAAAGGCAGATGCTTTCTACTTCACCCAGTCATGATGGTTGTCAAGTCTCAAGCTTTACAATCTTGATACCTTAATATGATTGAGTGGAGATAAGAAAGAAGAAGAAAAAGAGAAATATTTGAAGAGTTTTGACAAGTTGAGGAGTCAGAGGTGTAGAACACAACCAGTTCTAGGCATCTGTGTTAGCTTCTCTCCTCTTTCCAACATGTTGAAGCCACATTGAGAGGTAAAATAAATTTAAACTATTTCTGATGATTATGATTCTTTGTGAAATAAAACAATTTCCTACTGCCCTTACTGCAATGATAAAATAAGGAAAGGTCCTAGGACATCTGTGGTGGACCCTCCCAGCAGTTTCACCACTAATGACCTAGGCCCTCTCATTATTTTACACAAGGTAATAAGACCAAATCCAAATAAATAGTGTGTGATGTTTCGGTAACAGCGTTGTTACCAAAACGTCACACACTATTTATTTGGATTTGTGGTCTTATTACCTTGTGATATAAATTTAAAAAATATATATATTCAGATTAAAATTCTTGGTGCAAAAATTGGGGAAAACATAACAATTATTAAGAAAAAGGCATCTTTTTTATCGTGTAACTGAAAGTTGCTGATGGCTTGCGTCATCTATCGGAAAAAATATCAACTTAAAAATCATTGATTTTTAATGAATAATTAAAAATCAACGATTAGTTGATATTTATTCTGATAGATGGTGCAAGCCATCAGCAACTTTCAGTTACACGATAAGGGGATATGTTTTTCTTAATTTATGAACCTTATCCAAAAACAATGTCACATTTGTACTATTTTTTTCACATAACAATTATTATGTGAGCAATAGTTATACAGAAATTATTTGAAAGAGGAAAAATATTAGAGATTGTGTGTGTGTACATAGAGTATTAGCCCGTTTAAGAGCAATATATTTGCTCGAAAGCTTACAAATTCAAAATTAAAAGAAACTTCTTATCTGATTTTTATTTTTCCTCTTTCACATAACAATTATTGTTTGTGTATGTATACAGTCAGGTGTACAGTAGTGCTTACCCGGAACAACTTGTGCAGCTTCAGTGTTACATGGCAGAATATGAAGCGAAGTATGAGTAGTCTTAGGAAATCATCTCCATAGAACTGAAAGTAGGCTGGGTCTGAAACAAACCAATCAATATGATACTTTAGCGCACCATCTTTTATGAAAAATTTAAACTATTTTTATTATCCCTAGTACATGTGGTACAGGCCATGATAATCATGGTGGGTAAAATTGACTGCTTTTAACTGTAAGTGCACCACATGTCTACACATGTGAAAAGCAGTTTGACTTTGCACTTACAAATGTGCCAGAGCCCCGTTTGGTTACTTGAACTCGCTGGTGGGGTTGGACTTTTGCAAGAATCAGGGGCCATTTGAGCATTTTTTTTTTTTTTTAATAAAAAAGTGCCCAATGCGGGAATCGAACCTGGGTCGTAGCGGTCGAAAACCAACGGTTTAGATCATCCTTCCTACGACCCCCTAGCTTTTCTTGATTAATCAAGAGTGGGTATTTGGCCAATTGTGGAATAATTAAAAATCAACGAGAATAGTTGATATTTATTCCGATAGATGGCGCAAGCCATCAGCAACTTTCAGTTGCACGATAAGGAGATGTCTTTTTTTTTATTACTTAAGTAATCTTTTTACACAAATAAATTTACTGGCAATGCGTTTCTTTTAAATATCATCAAATATTATCTCTACAGACGTTACTGCAATGATATGAGTTATTGAATGAGAGGGCTTGGCTCATCAGTAGTGAACCCTCTCAGCGGTTTCACCAAATTAATCTCTAGTCCGCTCTACTATTGTATTGGATTCAAAATAACATTAATAGGTAATTTTGAATCCAATACAATAGTAGAGCGGTCTAGAGATTAATTTGGTGAAACCGCTGAGAGGGTTCACTACTGATGAGCCAAGCCCTCTCATTCAATAACTCACTGCAGTAAGGTCTATAGAGATAATATTTGATGATATTATTGAAAGGAAACACATTGCCAGTAAATTTATTTGTGTAAAATTTCAACGATAGATGGCAATTAAATTTAATTTACTTAAGTAATCTCTATGAGTTTAGTGAACAAGATATGTGGCAAACAGAAGTTACCGATGGTACGGGAGCGAGTGAGCACCACGGATGCCTCCACCAGGAAGCGGTCCACATGGGCCTGAGCCTTCTCATACAGGGTGATGGGGATGTCCACGATGTTACATAGGAAACACACCGCCATCAGGGGGCTGTGGAGGAAGAGGGTGAAGAGGTTGCCCTTGTGTTGTTGGTCTGCCGTCACACCCCAGTGTCATTCTCAATCTGTTAGAAGAGAAAATAACTCCGCCAGTCCTAAGCCCGGATGAAAAAGAAGGAGGGAGAGCAGTAACAAGCTCGCTAAAAAACCTGGACTTAGCTGGCTCGGCTGATAGTACCCTGTAAGGATTCCAGGGATACAGGATGAGTAGCATCTGTATTCCATGTTAGGAGCGGCTGCACATGGTGTCTGTTCCTCATGTCAGAGGCGGCCATTTCTTTTCGAGCTAAGTCGGCCTGCTACTGAGTAGTGCTCCCAGTCTTAATGACAAAGGCAGACGTATTCTACTTCATCCAATCATTATGGTTGTCGCTTGATACCCTCTTATTCTTCTTCTTTCTTATCTCCACACTGGGTGAAGTAGAATGCGTCTGCCTTTGTCATTAAGACTGAGAGCACTACTCAGTGGCAGGCCACTGACTTAGCTCCAAAAGAAATGGCGGCCTCTGACATGAGGAACAGATGCCATGTACAGCCTCTCCTAACATGGAGTACAAGCTTGATACCCTGATATGATTGAGTGGAGATAAGAAAAAAGAAGAGAAGATAAAATTTCTATAAAGTATAAAACAAGAATATAAACAGTAGCAATATGGTTCTTTATTCAGGCAAAGTACAAGTTTTCAGATCTTTATATTCCTTCTACTATGCTATGCCTCTGTAGAAGGATTGTAAAGATCTTGTTGAGGGTTCAGGCGAGAATCCTCACGCCACTTCGCACCTGGCGGCAGGAACCGGCTGAGACTGGAACCCGGCGGTTTTGGTTTCGGTTTTGGCTGCAATCGGGGGAGTATCTCCGCTTCTGGTGATGTGTGATGTTCTCCTTATGTTCCGGCACTGGTTATAAATAAAACCGGTACCAAGGGAGCTCCGACGACTCAGAATGGATTATTGACAAAACAACGGGCACAACACAACAGATCTGAGAGCTTGTACTTTGTGGGAATAAAGAAAGGCATTGCTACTGTTTATATTCTTATTTTATACTTCTCAATCTGTTTTAAAAGGTGTTGTTGTTTCTTGTCCCCTTGTGTAAAGATTACACGAATGAGTTCATGCCCCAAGGGAAAGCAAACTAGCAGTGAGCTGCTAAATTGACTTTTATTGGGTTCTAAAGAGAGAGAGAGGACAAAGAGCTAGTAAGCCTTCTGGAGAAGACCTCCTCCACCCACTCTTCCTAACAAGAGAAATGGTGTTTTTTTTTTTGCTTATCCCTAGTACACGTGGTACAGGCCATGATAATCATGGTGGGTAGAAGTAGGCGACTGCTTTTACTGTAGGTGCACCACATGTCTACGCATGTGAAAAGCAGTTCGACTTTGCACTTACAAATGTGCCAGAGCCCCGTTTGGTCACTTGCACTCGCTGGTGGGGTTGGACTTTTGCAAGAATCGGGGGCCATTGGAGCATTTTTTTTTTAAGCAGAAAAAATAGTCCAATGTGGGTATCGAACCCGGGTGATTGCAGTCAAAAACCAACAGTTAAGACTATCCTTTTAACAACCCCCAATGGTGTTTTTTAACTACCAAGTTAAAGTCTTCAAAATGCACTTTACTCTGTTCTGAGGACAGTGATGAATAGTGAGAGCTATTGCCCACCATTATACCAGAGTAATTGACAGCACTGTGTGGCTGCTGAATCAAGCAAATGGGGAGTGTTGATACCCTTGTGTAAAGATTACACGAATTCCATGAGTTCATGATCTCATGGAATGGGGTGTAGGGGTACAGCTTTCGTTGATCATGGCACCATGATCCAGGCACACTTTGGTGAAAGTCTGACTTTGCCTGTAGTTTGAGGCCGTTCCTAACATGGAAGCAGACGCCTTTGCTGCCGACTCTAACATGAGTACAGACGCAGCTCCTCCGTATCCCTGGGAGGGACCCTTGCTGAGGTCTATCAACCAGGTCAGTTGAAGTCAGGATTTTTAAAGAGGTCTTTCTTCTCGTCTAACAATGCTGCTGTTGGTCCGTGACTGCTTATTCGTCAGAGTTATTCTGCTTGTGTTGCAGCTGGCCTTCATATCTGAAGGTCGTTCCCTTATCCGCCACATGGGGATGCGCCCTATAGCAGTCAGCTCTTCCAAGAGAAAAAAAAATTGCATTGGCCAGGAATCAAACCCAGGCCTCCCGCGTGGCAGGCGAGCATTCTACCACTGAACCACCGATGCTGTGGGGAGTCATTAATAAATGCTGTATCCCCTTAACTTGAAGACAGTTCCTCACATGGTGTTGCATATTGTCAAAGACATTCTAATGGAAGAGTTGTGTGTTGGTTCAGTTTGGACTACACACTCCAGTTGTAGAGGGGTCTCACCCCAATATCAGACTACAGGGAAGGAATACCGTGGAAAGCTGCAGGAAGATCCTCAGGGGCCATGAGCACCACCAAGGGCTGCCCGAAGTAGCTGGGCATGTGCAGGAAGGCGGAGCTGTTGTCACTGTCCACTATGAGGAACAGGGGCTTGCGGGTGTAGGGGTACAAGTCTCCAGGGTAGAGACTGCACAGGCTCCACTTTAGAGACATATTTGAGAGCAGGTTTTGGTAAACAGCCTGTATATAGCTTTGGTCTAGTAGTGCAAGGACTCTTTGGCATTGGGAAGCCTCCTATATAATTGAACATAGTCTGTTGTTGCTTCTTATCCCCTTGTGCATAGATTACACAAATTCCATGAATACATGCTCCTTGAGTTTGAACATGTCTTGTTTATACAGTTTAACCTCTTTAATTCATCTATATAAAATAAAAGTTGAACTCTAACACTCATTAGAAATTAACAACATAAAAAAAAAACTAATAAATGAAGATTTTCCCATCAAATTTATATACAGAATAATAGAAGACATGAAGAGGAAATATGATAATAATACTTTAATTCAAAATCTAGTGTGTATGTGTGTGTGTAAAAACCAGGAATCCAAATTCATCACATTACCATTTTTAAACCAAAATTTGCCATAAATTTTACTAATATATTAAAAAAATTATGAAAAAAATTACATAGAAACCATGTAACCCCATTTCTCAATACATCAACATATAAGAACACCCATTTACCAAAAAGAGGTTTAATTTATGAAGTGAAATGTTAAAAGTGTGACTAGCGGGCTATGTAGGACGAAGAGAACTTTAAAAGAAAGGATGGAAAACCATGAATATGCTCTAAAATGGGATAAAATTGAGAATTCTGTACTTGTATGGATTATGGAATCAGTCAAATAATCATTTTAGCTTGTGAAGTGACCTTAGGCCTGAATCCATTGTCTACAATATGTAGCATGCATGTAGCTCAGTGTGAGTTACCAGTGAAGATCCTTCAGCTGTATGCTGCACCCTGAATCCATTGTCTACAATATGTAGCATGCATGTAGCTCAGTGTGAGTTACCAGTGAAGATCCTTCAGCTGTATGCTGTACCCTGAATCCATTGTCTACAATATGTAGCATGCATGTAGCTCAGTGTGAGTTACCAGTGAAGATCCTTCAGCTGTATGCTGCACCCTGAATCCATTGCCTACAATATGTAGCATGCATGTAGCTCAGTGTGAGTTACCAGTGAAGATCCTTCAGCTGTATGCTGTACCCTGAATCCATTGTCTACAATATGTAGCATGCATGTAGCTCAGTGTGAGTTACCAGTGAAGATCCTTCAGCTGTATGCTGCACCCTGAATCCATTGTCTACAATATGTAGCATGCATGTAGCTCAGTGTGAGTTACCAGTGAAGATCCTTCAGCTGTATGCTGTACCCTGAATCCATTGTCTACAATATGTAGCATGCATGTAGCTCAGTGTGAGTTACCAGTGAAGATCCTTCAGCTGTATGCTGCACCCTGAATCCATTGTCTACAATATGTAGCATGCATGTGGCTCAGTGTGAGTTACCAGTGAAGATCCTTCAGCTGTATGCTGCACCCTGAATCCATTGTCTACAATAAGTAGCATGCATGTAGCTCAGTGTGAGTTACCAGTGAAGATCCTTCAGCTGTATGCTGCACCCTGAATCCATTGTCTACAATAAGTAGCATGCATGTAGCTCAGTGTGAGTTACCAGTGAAGATCCTTCAGCTGTATGCTGCACCCTGAATCCATTGTCTACAATAAGTAGCATGCATGTAGCTCAGTGTGAGTTACCAGTGAAGATCCTTCAGCTGTATGCTGCACTTGTTGGAGACATCTGAGGTTGAATCTTTCTTGTTGTTGGTGGCCACTCCGCCGTAGTCGTATCCGACAGCTTGTAGACACAGCAACGTGAGCACAGCAGGGCACACTGAGCTGAGGATCTCCACTCACTGTCGTCTGGATGGTGGACGTTCCCGAAGCTGCCGTCAGCCGAGAGGTACAACAGCAATACACCATTGGGTGGCAGCTCCTTGAAGCCAGAAGCCAGGAACACTGAGAGCTGGCTGAATGTGGGCTTGTACAGCAGGTACTTGTGGGGGTTCTCTCTTTTTGACGGCCTCTGGTCCCCTCCATTCTCTGACTGCTCACAGCATTCCTCCGTGTTAAAGTATCAAAATCTACAAACCAATTATATTACTGTTCTCAGTTAAATGGCCGGCCTCATCCAAGTCTATCAATCTTCTTATATATAAAAATGAATGTGTGTCTGTCTGTACTCGATAGATTCAAAAACCATACATCCAATTGCCAAGAAAATTTGGGAAATTATTAGGTATATCCCTGGGAAGGTTTTCGTTGAGGTTACTTTTTGATTCTTCCAATTCCATACCACTCTATTAGATCATCAAACCAGTCACATCAAATGTGCCAGTCCCAAGCCCAGATGAAAAAGGAGGAGGGGGAGCAGTAACAAGCTCACTAACAAACATGGGCTCAGCTGGCCCGGCTGATAGTACCCTGTAAGGGCTCCTAATCCAGGGATACAGGATGAGCAGCTTCTGTACTCCATGTTAGGAGCAGCTGCACATGGCGTCTGTTCCTCATGTCAGAGGTGGCCATTTCTTTTGGAGCTAAGTTGGCCTGCCACTGAGTAGTGCTTCCAGTCTTAATGACAAAGGCAGACACATTTTAATTCACCCAATCATGATGGTTGTCAAGCTTTACAAGCCTGATACCTTGATATGATTGAGTGGAGATAAGAAAGAAGAAGATCAAGCCAGTCCTTACTTTTTTTTCTTCATTCTTCCAGGTGTGTCTATCCAATAGGGTCAACTTACCGATTACCCTCAAGTATATAAACTTGCATTTATTTCTGATTGAAAGTCTTCCTTTAAATCTTTTCTGTCTTCCTATCTATCCTTTTGACACCCTAGATGTTGTTAGTTCCCAACACACACAGCTAGTGTAATCTTGTGAAGCCAACAATGCCATTTAGATGGTTGTCCAACTTACAAAAGGTATGCGGCAGCCTGGAGCAGGGGAGGCATCATACATCTGGGAGAGTTCATCCTGCGGCTCTCTCTCCAGACTCTGGAGCATGCGGAACATGTCCAGGGTCAGCTCACTGAACTTCACCTGCACATCCACTGGATTGGTCTCATGGAACAGCTAGCTCCTCCTCATGGTAGATGTTCTTAGGGACACTACAGACAGTTGTTTGACTTTCTCACTGTTATAGTCTTCATACCCCCCACCAAATAATACAGTAGAACCTTCCTTGAGCGGACACCTCTCTACAAAGGACAGTTTTCATTTACAAAATTATCATTTTTACTATTTAGCAACTCTCCAGTTAGAGGACACCTCTCTCTAAAGGATACTTTGGCTCTGTAATTAGGTGTCCTTTACAGGGAGGTTCTACTGTAATTTGAACAATTTTCCATATCCCCACCATTCCAAGAACCATTTCTATTTCTAGAAAGCTATTTCCAACAATTGGTCAGGCTGAATTTGGTGTTGGAAGTGAAGTGCACCAGGAGAATAACACCCATTACTGTAGAGGTGGGGTATATTACAGAAGGTGTATATTCCTCGACACATCCAAGCTGTACCTGGTCACAGCAGTTGCCCACAATGAGAATCTCCTGCAGCAGCAGGGGGCTGGCCGCCACCTTCTCCAGCGGGGGCATGGTGTGTGGGGAGAGACGGTGGGACAGCACCAGTGGAGTGGAATCCACGTCCAGTACATTCACCAGGTTGTCCGCCTGCACCCATCACTCTGTCTGCTCCAGGAACTTAGGATTACAGTATGTCTCAGTAGGTTGAGAGGGAACACTCACACAGTACGAGAATTCTCCCTACAGGGGTACAGAAATGTCAGGACGGGCCACCAATAGATCAAGATAACCTTATGACATCTCAAACGCACTCTCTGAAACAGACTTGAGGAAAGAGAAACAAAATATTTACAATAGAAGAAACTGATCTCATGCCAAGTTTCCCATGACAATACTATGGCCCTTTGAGAGTTGTAGCTAGCAAGACAATCCAATGTCTAGTTAGGACTGAGTCATAAAAATGCTTAATACAGTTAAACCTGTCTATAGTGCCCCCTCTTAGGACTCGCCAAAATAGGGTGCTATAGAGAGGGGGTGCTATAGACAGGTGACTTTTAATGTTAATCGTATTGTACTACGTATTTAAAATCAGGCGCTATAGAGAGAGAGACTTATATAGAGGGGGCGCTCAGGTTTAACTATACATTTTATAAACATGTTTGGCACTACTACAAGGTAAATAAGACAAATCTAAATAATTAAAAAGTGTGTGACATTTCAGTAACAATGCTGCTACCAAAACGTCATATATTATTTATTTATTTAGATTTGGTCTTATTACCTTGTAGTTTTATATATATATATTTTTTAAATTATCCCTAATACACGTGGTACAGGCCATGATAATCACGGTGACTGCTTTTACTGTAAGTGCACCACATGTCTACACATGTGAAAAGCAGTTCGACCCTTTGCACTTACGAATGTGTCAGAGCCCTGTTTGGTTACTTGCATTTTCTGGTAGGGTTGGACTTTTGCAAGAATCTGGGGCCATTGGAGCATTTCTTTTAATAAGAAAAAAGTGCCCAATGCAGGATTCGATCCCGGTCGTAGCAGTCAAAAACCAGAAGTTTAGACCATCCTTCCACCAACCCCCATTTTTAATCTATAATTAAAATTGTGCCTAATCACTTTTGATACTCTTTTTTTTTTTCTTTTCACTAATGTTTACTTTTACATAACTTCCTTCTTCTTCTTTCTTATCTCCACT